CAGAGAGAGCAGAGAGGGAGAAGAGGACGACAAAAGAGGGGCTGTGACAAACTGTTTCGTCCGAGTTTCACCGACGCCTCCGGAGGCTGAACCCTCGACAGTCTGTAGAATCCCCTAACTGATTACACTGTAAGCGATAATCCACCTTAACCCCGGGTGTGGTTAAGCATCGACGATTGCGCCACAACTGATGCCCCTCTGAGGTGGTGGGGACCACCAACCACTGCCCTCAAGGTACCTGTGCCGAAAAGCAAAGCAGACTATCACTCACCCACACCAGATGGAAAAAACTCTACAGACTATCGGTTCACACCCCCCATCACAAGCAACAAGCCAGCAAAACACCCACGAAACAAAGAAAGGTCTGTCGCAGCCGAAAAATACACTCCAGACACACCGCTGGCACTAGAGGCACAGCATGGCCGCCTAGTGACGGCCCCGACCACTGCCGCTCGACCTGACCGGAGAATACCGTAGCAGGGTGCTAGCGAAGTCGTGGTATATAAAGTCAAACAGCGCTGCCCGGTAAAACGTAGGCAGAGATAAAAGGGCCTTTACCCGATTCAGACCCTGTTTGACGAATGCAGCATAGTGGGGTCACTCGCCCAGAACCCAACTCGTGAAAGCAGATCAAAGGACATGTTCTCTGGGTCAAAAGTCACATCCTAGCTAGGTAAAAGTCAATGTCAAAGGGCACGGTTGTGCCCCTGGACGAACAGTTGCAATATTCAGATATGGGAGTCACATCTGTTCATCCAGGGGGTGTGCAAGTCATGTCTGTTCATGCAGGAGATGCGTCTGTACGTGCAGTACGTGTGTCCGTCGGTGCAGTATGTGTCTGTTCGTGCAGAATGTGTGTCTGTTCGAGCAGTAGGTGTGCCTGTTCTAAGGAAGTCGAAAAGGTGAAGTCCCAGTCAAGATTCAAGTCAAAGGGAGAGTCTAGATACAGATTGAAAGTCCGAAATTGAGGCCTGAAGGCCGCAGCAGCAGTGGACCCTGAGGATAAGGAACTGGGACACACTCCACAGAGGCCTGGGACTGGGAAATGACCCAAGACAGACTGAATTCAGACCTCGCAAGGGGAGGCCAGCACTATAAAGGACGAGGCAGCCTTCCCACAAGGCAGATTCCCGTTGGCATTGATGCGTGGAAGTGCTGAGGCACTTGTGCGCTATAGTGCAGGGAGAGGCGCTGGCAGAAGAAGCTGCGCCAGAAGGGAGATGAGCTGGGCGCTGGCTGCAGGGAAGCCATAGCTGCGCCAGCCTGAGTTAGTAATAGTAGAAGTAGTGGGGTTAGAAGTAGAACTTTTGAACTCGAGATACTCTTGTTTAATGTAAATTTTATAATATGAGCTGCGCTATCTGGTTCCTATCTCATCTCGACTTTGGCTTTGTGTGAACCTATCCTATCTGTGTGAAGACATGAATGCATGTGAAGTCATGCACTCCAGCAAGTTGTGAACAGTCAGGTTCCTTGCAGAGAGCGAGAAGTAGGGTATCTATGAAGCTCCCTAGGTACGAACTTGACCAGGAATATAGTCAGATTCAGCTTTCTTTCGATCATGGTTGTGGCACACCGCCCTTAATAGGGTATCTCCCCGTTCGCTGCACCCCACCAAGTCGTTTGCACATACACACATCACACTCTCATTCAACCAGGATGTATATCATCACATAAATATCAGGGCGCAAAAGCGAAAAAAAACAAAGGAAAACAAAAAAGATATCAGTTCATTTCTTATCTTCTTCCTTATAACTCCCCCTGTTCAGAACCTCTTGCATAAAAGGCCGCCCACGTGGATGTAGGTTGAGCAGCGGCTGCCCCCACCCCCGTGTGTCATATCGACCCCCTTGCACACAGCCAGAAGGCAAAGAGGCAAAGAAAAGAGGAAGGGAACAGCCAAATAATACAGAACAGGGGGCAACAAAACAAATCCCAGATGACAAGTCCCACATGCAAACACCGCCCCAACTCACAGGCCAAACGACGGGACGAGACCAACCAGGATATCAAAACATTCTTGTCTGCAAAGAAAGCAAAAAAAAGGCTCCGATCCCAGTGTGACAACCAAAAAGAAAGAGAAGACAATCCCGGATGACGATTCCCACATACAAGCACCGCCAACAGGAAACTACCTGGTTGGATGGGGGGAGAAGTAGGGAATTAAAAAGAATTTGAAAAAAAAAAACGAAAAGAATTAGCACGACATAGAAAAGGAAACGACACTGTCGATTTGTGTCAGTGCTTCCTGGACAGAAAAGGAGCGAAAAAAAAAAAAAGAAGCGTCTACTTAATCCAGAGGTCGCACATCTGAATAAACTTCAATAAAGTTGGGACCTGATAAATATATGCACAAATATCACAAAATGAATGTATAAATATTAAATAGCACGATGGCCCACAAAAATGCCAGATTCATAAAAGACGAAGCTGAAGAAGAAGAAGAAGAAGGAGAAGAAGAAGAAGAAAACTAGATTAAAATATGGATAAAGTAAAGCTAAACGACAGAACAATTTGGGAAAGGCTTTTCCCACACCATTGACAAAAAAAAAAAAAAAAAAACTCTTCGTTATTTTTTTTTCCCGAAAAGTTCTTTACCTCCCCTCCCCTCTTCTTGTCCCCTTCCTTTCCTTTACTTTTCTTTTTTTTTTCTAACCGAAAATCGTCAAGTCCTCCTTTCCTTTTCTTTTTTAACACTTTCCTTTCTTCCCTTCTTTTTTTTCCGTTCTTTTTTTTTCGTTTTTGGCTGCTTTTTTTTTTTTAACACAAAAAAAGGAGTATATTTATAAAAGCTGGGAACCGGGCCTGCTCTTTTCTTTTCCCCCTTTTCAGGGCTTTCGCTCATTTTCTTCAACGGGGAAAAATCATTCACAGACACCTCATCGCAACAATAGAATTAATTAATTGAAATTAAATCCGAGCAACTAATAAATAAACAACCTGCCGGCCAGGACATAATTGAAAGAAAGGTTCAACGTACGTACATGGTCAATGTTCGAGAAATATATCCGAAGGTTCAACGTACATGGTCAATGTTCGAGCAATATATCCGAAGGTTCAACGTACATGGTCGATGTTCGAGAAATATAACCGTTAGAGGCTACGATGGGTGACCGTTCAGGCGAGGACGCCCGGGGTACACACCTTATCCACTCTGACTCTCCAGAAATAATGGGGTATTTAATTTTAAATTTCAGGAAAAAGAACTGGGGTGGGGAGGGCAGGGTGGGGGCAATCCGTCCGTGATTATGTATGTTCTCTAGAATCTCTACTCCTAATAAATCCCTGCCGATTTTATTTGTCATGATGGTCACACACGTCTCACGTCTCTCTTCCATTTTTATTTGTCATGTGTTGGTCACGCACCTCTCTTCAATACAAACAAACACGAACTCATATCCAAAACGGGAACCGGTCAGGAGGACGGGCGGGTATTAACCAAAAAAACCCTCGTCTTCTCTATTTTACACGTCGCTCTTCCCCTAACGTCAACACGCTCCCTACTCTCTCTCTCTCTCTCTCTCTCTCTCTCTCTCTCTCTCTCTCTCTCTCTCTCTCTCACACACACACACACACACACACTTC